GAGTGAGAGAGACAGAGAGAGAGAAAAGAGAGATGAACGAGAGAGACAGAGAGAGAAAAGAGATGAGCGAGATAGAGAGAAGAGAGATGAGCAAGAGAGACATAGAAAGAAGACAAATGAGAGAGATAGAGAGAAGAAAGATGAACGAAAGACACATAGACAGATAGAGTGCCATTCACCAAACTTCTTGTACTGATACACCTGCCCAAAATGGCCGAGCTGAGCGTAAACACCGTCATCTTCTTGAGACAGCTAGATCTCTTCTTCTCTCTGCCTCCGTTCCAGCTCCGTTTTGGGGTGAGGCAGTTCTTACTGCTGCTTTTCTTCTCAATCGTATGCCTACCCCCCTTCTTTCGGGTCGGTCTCCTTATGAGGCTCTCTTTTCTCAACCTCCTAATTACTCCCTCCTTCATGTATTTGGGTCTGTGTGTTTTGTCCTTTTACCCCGTAAAGATAGGACTAAACTTAGTGCCCGATCTGTCCTATGTGTTTTTTTGGGATATAGTCTCACTCAGAAAGGTTATCGTTGTTATGACCCTGTTTCTCGTCGCCTTTATGTCTCCCGCCATGTTGCCTTTCTCGAACGTCTATCTTACCTTCAGCTTCCTCTTCTCACCGCCCCAGTTTCCAAAGAGGATTTGGTTCATATTGATCCATTTCCTTCTGAGGTCCCATCTGATGAGTACATCTCCACAGTTCCTCCTGAGCTTATTCCATCTTCTCCTTCTGCTTCACCTCTGACTACTTCTCCTCCTTCGCCTCCTCCTTCGCCTTCTCCTTCTCTTTCTTCTTCTCCTCCGTTGTTAGTTTATTCTCGTCGCAAGGCTCCTCCTCTACTAGTTGTCTCTACCCCTGTTGCTGATCGTCCTGCTTCTGACGACTCTGATCCTGCTGCACACCGATATCCTCCTCGAGCGCGTCATCCTCCACAAAGGTTGGGTTGGTCTAATACTTGTTTTTCTGCTTCCTATCGTACCTTTTTGTCTGCTATTCACTCTTTTGCAGAACCTCAGTCTTACAAGGAGGCCTGTCAGGATCCTCATTGGGTTCAAGCTATGGAGGATGAGTTGTTTGCTCTACAGAAAACGAGTACTTGGGAGTTGGTTCCTTTACCTGTTGGTAAGAATCTAGTTGGTTGCAAATGGGTCTACAAAGTCAAGACTCATTCTGATGGTTCTCTTGAGCGCTACAAAGCTCGTCTGGTGGCCAAAGGTTTCTCCCAGGAGTATGGTATTGATTATGAGGAGACATTTGCTCCTGTTGCCAAGATGACTACTGTCCGTACTTTGATTTCTGTCGCTGTTGTTCGTTCTTGGCCTCTTTATTAGATGGATGTTAAGAATGCTTTTCTTAATGGCACTCTCACTGAGGAGGTTTATATGCGTCCTCCCCCTGGTCTTCACCATTCCTCTGGCCAAGTCTGTCGTCTTCGGCGTGCTCTATATGGTCTGAAGCAGTCTCCTCGTGCTTGGTATGATCGCTTTCAGACTGCTGTTACCGAGCTTGGGTTTCATCCTTCTGCTTCCGACTCTGCTTTATTTCTAAGACATACCTCGGCTGGTTTTGTTGCTCTCTTACTATATGTAGATGATATGATCATCACTGGCTCTGACTCTTCTGCTATCTCTGAGGTCAAGCAGCATCTCTTTCGCACCTTCGAAATGAAGGATCTGGGACCATTGCGGTATTTTCTTGGCATTGAGGTGGCTTCTTCTCCTAAGGGTTATTTTTTGTCCCAGGCTAAGTATGCTAACGAGGTTATCCATCGTGCCAGACTTACTGACACTAAGCTGTCTGATACCCCCATTGAACTTAATGTAAAGCTCAACACTACTGATGGGATTCCTCTAGATGATCCTACGTTATATCGCGAGCTTGTGGGTTGCTTAGTCTATCTGACAGTTACTCGTCCTGATCTTGCCTATGCTGTCCATGTGATTAATCAGTTTGTTTCTGCCCCTCGCTCTACACATTGGGCTGCTTTGCTTCGGATTCTTCGTTATCTTCGCAGTACTATCTTTCAGGGCTTGCTGTTCTCTTCTACTTCTTTCTTAGACTTGGTGGCTTATGCTGATGCTGATTGGGCTGGTGATGTTAATGATCGTAAATCTACTTCTGGTTTCTGTATGTTTCTTGGCGATTCCCTAATTTCTTGGAAAAGCAAGAAACAGACTGTTGTTGCCCGTTCTACTGCCGAAACTGAGTATCGTGCTATGGCTCATGCTACTGCTGAAATTGTCTGGCTTCGTCAGCTCTTATCTGAGTTGGGCATCCCTCAGTCTTCCCCAACCTCTCTCTATTGTGACAACCGAAGTGCTATTCAAATTGCTCATAACATTGTCTTCCATGAACGGACAAAACATATTGAGATTGATTGTCACTTCGTCCGTCAGCATCTGCAGTCTGGCTTTATCTCGCTTCCTTTTGTCTCTTCGGCTCTGCAACTTACTGACTTCTTCACTAAGACTCACACCACTGCTCGGTTTCGGTTTTTTCTTGACAAACTCTCAGTGTTTTCTACTAAAACACCTTGAGTTTGAGCGGGGGTGTGAGAATATGTGTTCTTCTCGGATTAGGAATAAGTGTCCTATGTCTATTAGACTTCTATATATCTCAGTAATGTATTCATGTAGGGTTAGGAATTAGTGGTACTCTATATAAATGATGTATGTATTCTTTGTTCAAATTAATTCAAGACTAATATACAGTTTTATTCAGAAAACTTACACTTCTCACATACCTATTGTAGCCTTTTTCACTTCTACCACATAATTTTTCACTTTCAACTTCTCTCATACCTATTGCAGCTTTTTCCACTTCTATCAACACCACATCTATCTATCTATAACACATAATTCTTCACTTATTTTTTTATACTAGAAGGACAAATCAAGTCAGGACAAACCATGATAAAGAGAAAGTTTCAAAACCTATAAGTAATCTTTTCATTTATTTTTTAATGGTTCTTTTTCTTTTCATTTATTTATTTTTATTATCAGAAAAATAGAAAGTTTCAAAACCTGTAAGCAATCTTTTATTTTATTTTTCAATGGTTCTTTTTTTTTAATTTTTATTATGAAAAAAATGTGATTGTAGTTAGATAAACATTAACTGTCACAAAGATAGCATAACAACTGTAAAATAACCAAACATAAACCAGAATACATAACCATTTTTTCCAAGTGTTCGGCATATCTACAGCAAAAAAAAAATAAAAATAAAAATTGTGATATGAATTTTGTCTAGCAAAAAAGAAAAATTATGATGTGATTGTAGTTAGATAAACATAACCAGTTACAAAGAAAAGAATGTGATTGTAGTTAGTTCAATAGTTTATTTATTTATTTATTTATTTATTTATTTATTTATTTTTAATGTGATTGTATTGTAGTTAGTTTAATGGTTCTTTTTTTTCATTTATTTTTTTATTATGAGAAAAATGTAATTGCAGTTAAATAAATATGAATAGTCACAAAGATAACATAACAACGGTAAAACAATCAAACTTAAACCCAAATACTCAACCATTCTTTCCAAGTGTTCGGCATATTTATGCAAAAAAAATAAAAATAAAAAAAATTGTGATTTATATTTTGTCTAGCAAAAAAAAAAAATTATAATTTGAATTTTTAACTTATTGTGTTTTTTTAAAAGAAAATTATTGTGTTTTTTAATAACTATCAATTGACTTAATTTGTGATTTGATTTTTAACTCATTGTGTTTTTTGAAACAAAAAATGGATTGTATTCATTAGGTTCACATAGAGTACCTATTATTGATGATGATTAGATTGTATTTTTTAACTCACTGTGTTTTTTTAAAAAAAATTATTGTGTTCTTTAACTATCAATTGACTTAATTTGTGATTTAATTTTTAACTCACTGTGTTTTTTGAAAGAAAATATGGATTTTATTTATTAGGTTCACATAAAGTACTCATTATTGATGATGATTAGATTGTATTTTGAAAAAGAAAATTTGCATTTTGAACTCACAGTGTTTTTTGAAAAAAATTTGATTATGTTTCTTAACTATCAATTGACTTAATTTGTAGTTTGATTTTGAACTCACTGTATTTTTTTTTTTTTTTTTTGGTATAAAGTATCTTTCTTACCATGCAACACATGATTTTATAATTGTGATTTATTTGATGACTATGCCTCATTTCAGAATAAAATATTTTAATATTTTTTTTTGATTTTTTTATTAAAAATAAAAATAATATGATAATTTATAGTAATTTTTTTTTATTAAAATTGAACGTTGTCAAATGAAGCCTGATTTCTTACGTTAAATCCCAATGAAGAAAAAGTCTTGTGGATTTGACCCATTAAAACTGGGGGGAAAAAACTACCTGTTGCAACATGCAATGCAACACATGATTGTATATAATTGTGATTTATTTGATGACTAGATTCTTAAATGTAGTTGAATAAGGGAAAAAAAAAAAAAAAAACTACACAAACTAAATTTTTTTAGCAAATTACACTCCTAATTTCTGTAGTTTTAATTACGCTAATATTATTCTTATTTTTTTATATTTTATTAATTTAATTCAATTGATAACTATCTTTTAGAGATTAGACTAAAATCAAAGGACAAAACAATTCATTACTTTTCCCAAAGTGATTGAGAGGTTAGTAACTAATTTGAAATCATCAATTCCCTTCTGAATGAATTTGATTTTTCTTAAATTTCTTAACGGATATTATCAATTAGACTGAACTGACATAATGTACAAAATTAAATAATAAAAATGATATAATTGAAACAATACGAACCAACTTATAACACAGAAAACAAATTACACGAACCACTTGTTTAATTTATCCTAAATTTTTTACTAATAAACGTGCCACGCATATGGATAAAACATTAAGATTTGAAATATAACCCGTCAGGATAACATGATTGGAACAACTAAGAAAAAATTATAAAATTTATTAATTTGTATATTATTAGTGAAATAGTCACTGTGCCTAAAGGCACTTCATTATTGGAAAAACAACCGTTAAATTTATTTATTCTTAATCCTCGATTATATTACATAGTATATTTTTTAAACTGATTTGTTTTATTACGTAGTGAGGTTGATTACTAGTTCAATAGTGATTTGGTTTCTAATATGGCCACGTCACCCCGTAACCTTTTCTTCTTCTTCGGGGGGACGGGTTTTAAAAATATGATGTAAAAAATGCCACAATTATATTTTTAAATTGGCAAATATCATCTCGAGGAAACGTTTTGGCGTTGTCTTGGTGGGTGGTTATGTGTTAGGTAGGTAGCTCTATGGTTTACTAGTATAAAATTTCTGAAATGAGATAGATGAGAGCTGCTGACTTGCCTTGGCCTGTAAGCCAACTTGTTTCAAATTCTCTCGTTTTGTGGGAGAGAGGTCTTTGTTGGAAAATATGTTATTTTAGGTAGTCCCAAGTAAAATTATAATATTACTTTGATAATTGAGTAATAGTAAAACACATTAGTGAATCAATTTTTTTTATTTTATTTAAATTTCTCAATTGCCTATTAATTTGTATTATCCCACTTATAAAATTGTTTATCACATTTATCTATACTATATATTAAGTAAAATGGAGTTTTTAACCCAAGACCTGTGGAAGCTCCAATCTCTTAATCCTAATTTTCTAATTTTTTGATTTAAAAAAAAAAACCTCAGCATTTATTGATTTCTCCCAATCCAACCTCAGCATTTATTGACTTCTCCTAACCCACAATCCCTTTTGACTTCTCTCATAATTATTGCAATACCCTTTTCAATTTCTCCCATATACTATGGTTACATACAAAAATAAAAAATAAAAGATAAGAATTTAGCTATAGATCTCAAAAAGATATACCATCTAAATTTGAATTATGATTTAATAATATAATTATGTATTTTTTTTATGTATATCTATCAAAATTTTAAATCACTTAATGGGACAAATTAATCAATTTTTCAAAATTATTGATTTTTAATTTACAAAATAGATTAAAAAAAACTATTGATTGATTTATTTATTTAATAACAAAAATATTTCATAATCTCTCCCTCCTGATCTCTCTCACAAATTTTCAAAAAAAAATATTAAAACTTGCATTCATTTTCTCTTCCCCAAAAAATTAGATAATATTTTCTATTAAAGTTGTAGATATCTACCTATATTTTATATATTATATTATAACATAACAAAAAAAAACGAAAAAACTAAAAAAAAAAAATCTTTAAAGTTTATCTAAACTTTAAATCAATAAAACTCACATGTTTGTTAGATATCTAACTCACATCATAACTTACCTAAATAATAATAATTAAAAACAAATAGAAACCACAGATAAATTAAATTTAAAAAAAAAAAGATACCCACAACTCCATCTTAAATAAATTGAAAAAAATACCCGAATAGAAACCACACAAAAATAAAAATAAAAATAAAAAGATATATCTATCTATCTATCTATATCTATACTATATATTAAGAAAAATGAAGTTTTTAACCCCCAAGACCTATGGGAGCTTCAATATCCCAATCTGAATTTTTTAAATTTTTTATTTAAAAAAAAAAACTCAGCATTTATTGATTTGCTCAAAATCCACTGATCAGCATTTATTAACTTTTTTCAATCCACATATCTTTCCACATGCCTGCAATTATTGATTTGGTCAAAATGTCCTGATCAGCATTTAAAATCCTCTCATATAAATAATTATAGATACAATTCGTGTATAGTTACTGCAATACCCTTTTCAACTCCCCCCATACATTATGGTTAGTGATAAGAAAAAAATCTTAAAAAACATAATTTATATATTAAAAAAAATCTAAAACAAATATAAATATCTATAATTATCCCGTGCATAGCACGGGCGATAGGCTAGTATCTATACTATATATTAAGCAAAATGGAGTTTTTAACCCCAAGGCCTGTGGGAGCTCCAATCTCCTAATCCTAATTTTCTAATTTTTTGATTTAAAAAAAAAAACTCAGCATTTATTGACTTCTCCCAACCCAATCTCAGCATTTATTGACTTCTTCCAACCCACAATCCCTTTTGACTTCTCTCATAATTATTGCAACATCCTTTTCAATTTCTCTCATACACTATAGTTACACACAAAAAAATTTTAAAAAAATAAGAATTTAGCTATAGATCTCAAAAAGATATAACATCTAAATTTAAATTATGATTTAATAATATAATTATGTATTGTTTTTTATGTATATCTATCAAAATTTTAAATCACTTAATGGGACAAATTAATCAATTTTTCAAAATTATTGATTTTTAATTTACAAAGTAGATTAGAAAAACTATTGACTGATTTATTTATTTTTAATTTACAAAATAAATTAAAAAAACTATTGACTGATTTATTTATTTAATATCCAAAATATTTCATAATCTCTCCCTCCTAATCTCTCTCACAAATTTTCAAAAAAAAATATTAAAACTTGCATTCCTTTTCTCTTCCCTAAAAAATTAGATAATATTTTTTTATTAAATTTGTAGATATTTACCTATATTTTATATATTATATTATAACATAACAAAAAAAACTAAAAAAAAAAATCTTTAAAGTTTATCTAAATAAACTTTAAATCTTATCTGAATAAACTTTAAATCAATAAAACTCACATGCCTATCACATATCTAACTCACA